GGTCCAGGATTTCTCCTACCTAGAACTTTGAGATTCACTTTGTTTTGGGCTCTCTTTTTCATCTTCTTCTCCTCCTCTCCTTTACCTAACCTATTCCATTCTTCCTCTAGTTCTGGCTAACCTCTGCTTCTCCTTATCCTTTACCTTGGATAATATGTATGGAGGACACTCTATTAGCTTAGTATTTGACTAGGCAATCAGGGATATAACAAACTGATCAATGTACAAGTTTAGAACTGACAAAAATTCAGGCTCTGAAATCTTCCAGGCTTATTTACATTTTAATTTGCCACTGCTGAATACCAGAACCTTTCAGACAAAGGGAGGAAGCTATTTTAACTTAACAACTGTAGGTGAAACTGAATTAGTAGGTCATGTTGGATGGTGGAGGGTATAATGTGTACAGAGAACTCCATCCTACACTTTTTAAAGTCCTATACCACCTAGGTATCACATAATCTCAAAAAAGAAAAATCTCCAAGATATTTTGAACATGTTAATATTCTGTGCCTCTATGATTTACATTTGTAGCTGAGTCCCATCTTGGAGAAGCTATCACATTAAGTGAATTCTCAAGATTCCTTCCAATTCTTGGATGATTCTACCCTGCTATTGTCCTTCATGTATAGAGATGACTCTTACCATTCTTAAACATTCTACATTTGAACATTTACTCTGTGCTGGGTGGAGATGATGATTGTCTGGTGTATTAGTTTCATAGGGCTGCTGTAACAAAGTACCACCAACTGGATGGCAGAAAGCAACAGAAATTTATTGTTTCACAGTGCTGAAAGCTAGAAATCCAAAATCAAGGTATTGGTAAGGCTTTTGGAGAAAACCCTTTCTTGTCTCTTCCACCTTCTGGTAGTTTCAGGTGTTCCTTGGTTTGTGGCAGCATAACTCCAACCTCTGTCTCCCTCTTTACATGGCCAACTTCCCTCTGTGTCTGTGTCTCTACTTCTTTTCCAGCAAAAACAGCAGTCATATTATGTAAAGAGCCCACCCCACTCTAGTATAACTTCATCTTAATTACATCAGTAAAGATTTTAATTCCAAATAAGGTTACATTTACAGGTACCATGGGTTAGGACTTCAATATATCTTTTTTAGGCACATAAATCCACCCACATCTGGTTACCAACATAGTTTGTCTATGTTTAGGCATAAAGTTTTAATTGACAGCCATGAAACAGGCCAAAATAAAAAAGGTCCATGAGGGAGGAAACCGTGAATGACCTGATGTGCTTATCAGTTTTGCTAACCAGTCATACATATATTCACCCTATTACACTGGCTTTAGTCTTTCCTTCCTCCCTCCCTCCCTCCATTCCTTCCTTCCCTCTTTCTTTTATCATTGAATAATATGGTTAAATATTTGGTGATGTGAAATTTGTGGGAAGATATGCATCAGAAAAAGGTACTTTCTTGTGAGTAAGGTAAACATTAAGGTATTTATCAGTTTATCACATACCCAAAAACCTAACAGAAAGCTTATCAAGGGTTTTGTAACTGAAGAATCTATTACAAATATTCAGATTTATACTTAGCTTTGAATTATGCATAGACTCCCACAAATAATTTAGCTTAGAGCATCAATATTTCAATCTGAGCCTTATATGGATAGTATCGTCTTTATCACCATTGTCTTGTGAGATAACTGGTGACATATTTCTTTAGCACAAGGGAACCAACTAGAGTAACTGGCATCCTGCAAATTTGAATCAATGATGCTGCTCACTAATTCCAGTCAACCAAAATGAAGAAAGTTAGTTCATGCTTTTCTTATAGCCAATGAGGAAACTCTGGTGAAGGAGCTGTCTTGTCATCAGCCCTTCCCCCATAAAACTTTTCCAGGTCTGAAATTCTCATTTTTCATAGCAAAGAAAGAAGGCTATGCATTTTGTTCATGCTCATTATGAGTTATAACACCCAAACAGTACATTAATAAAAACTATTAAAGTATCAGGAGCCCTGGCTGGTGTGGCTCAGTGGATTAAGTGTCTGCCTGCCAAGCAAAGAGTCCTGGTTCCATTCCCAGTTGGGGCACATGCCTGGGTTGCAGGCCAGGTTCCCAGTGGGGGGCATGTGAGAGGTAATCACACATTGACGTTTCTCCCCCTCTCTTTCTCCTTCCCTTCCCCTCTCTCTAAAAATAAATAAATTAAATATTTTAAAAATACAAGTATCAGGAGAAAATTTCTCAAGAGAGGAAAGCTAATAAATTATAAAACTCTTTAAAACTCTTTGTGCTGGGGTGAGGATCAGGATGGGATATGCTGATAGCATTAAGCTGTTACAACAAACTCATGTTTTGTTTCAACCTCACTATTTTGAATTTGGACTGGTCATTGGGAACTCCCTTTCTACAGGTCGATATGGGGTGTTCACGTCTGTCCTTAACACTGTCAGACATTTTAAAACAACTTTTGAAAACAAATAGGTGACACAGAATTCCTTGGAGACAGCAGGAGTATCTAGTTGCACTCAGTTATTCAAAGATCAGTGAAAAATTCTCAATAGCACAGGAACTAAAAAAAGGGAAATGTGAAATCCAATGGTGTTTGGTTATTGGAACAGGGGTTTGCAGTGATGAAAGAAAATACAGATAAAGTTATTTGGACTGTACTTTTATATATCTTAACATAATTCAAGTTTAGAAAGGATCTCAATTGTGATTTGTTGGCTTAGTTTTGACCTAAAAGAAAAACAGATTTGTTGGTTTTGTTTCTTCTTTTTATTCAAATGGGACACGCCCTCCTGATTTTGAGAAATCTGATTGTTATCTCTTAGAACCATGCCTGATGAAGTACTCATGAGGTCCTTGTTATAATTTTGATATTTAATTATGTTGGATTCCTATCAAAGACCTCAAGGGAGACTTAACTTGAAGGGTAAAGATGATTGTCAAGTGAGCTATAGAGTAAGGTCTGGTTCTTTGGTGGAAGTACAATGAAAATTGTTCAGGCAAAGGTATATTCAATAAGGCAGACAAAAAGAAATAAAATGTGCTTCTGGGAAATAAGCAAGGCAAAGCAAACACATAGGGACTCATTAAAGAAGCAGCCAATGAGCAATTAATAACCAATATCTGATATTTAATTTAAGACCCAAAGGTCACTTAATATCAACTCTGTTGCAACACATATGTGCTGAATGAATCTGGCTGGCAATTTTTCTTGAGTTTACCTTGGCTGGTTTCATGGATGTGTTTCTCTAGAGTCACACACACAAAAAAACGGAAGAGTAAAATTAAATTTACGGGGAGCATTTATTTGGATTAATTAGATAATAAAAACATTCTGAAATTGCTAATTTACTAAGCAAAATCACCAGAATGTTGAATTACTTTACTTTTATTATGATGATTGAAGGAGATAAATGCAGACCCAGCCACAAAAGCAAAGCAGAGAGAAGAGAGGCAGCAGTCATTCTTTGGATAATTACTGGTATTTGTCATCCTTGTCTTGAAAAGGGGATCATCAGTTTTTCTAAAGATTGTTTTCTTTGCTTGAGAGCCTCTTTTTCAGAATGCTGTTTACCATCCACATAGTCCTAATTTATTCAGCAAAAAATGCACTACAAATATACTTTTCATTAGCCAATTTAATGAATTTAATTCTGGTTCAAAATTTTAAATAAAAAGTGTACATTTCATTCTTATAAGAATGAAACTTAAAAACTTTTGTTTCTTAAGTGTTAGATTAAATTACTAAAAGCAGAGTTGAAAAACAGGGTTAATCAGTGTGAAATTTAGTATCATGAGCCCCAGGCTAATTGTGTTAATAAATTATAATTAATTTTCCTATCTCTTTAAAAAAACAGTCTCAAAAATCATGGCATCTATAACTTCATTTATATTAGAAAATGAGAACAAAAAGGAAGTTTGCCTCAAAGAGAAAAAACACCAAAAATGCTTACATAATATTCTATCACTAGAAAATGAATGAGAATTTTATTATTTCTTGGCTTTAACAAAATCTATCCTTCGCCAGATATAAGAATGCTACTAACGTGGAAGAAGCAGGATCCATTTTTCTATATAAACACATTTTAATAATTTCCATGAAATTGATATTTTAGAATTATGGCTAAAGCCAAATGAAAACTTATGGGTTCTTAGCCCTAAATTCTGAGCCGGTTCCTTAAGAAAGACCTAAAATACACTTTAAAATAAACCCAATTAATATAATTACAGAGGGTTTAAATAACACAAACACACTGGATCTGTTTTTGTAAAACACAGGTGTTCTGTTATTTATATTTTGCTATTTTTAAAAATCGGAAATGTGCTCATATATAAAGTAACTTCTTTGAAAAGAGTTGAGTCTGTTGTTTTCTGCAATACTAAATTTTTAAAAAGCTCCTAAAACCAATTAGCTTGGAAATCTTACATTCATGCCTCAGACTATTGCAGCAGTTGTAACAAGGAAAGCAACACATTCAGGTATTCAGTGTAACAGACACAAGGCACAGGCAGCAACTTGTATACATTGGCAGTAGACATGCTAATTTCTTTGCCTCCTCTCTCCACCCTGCTTTACTAACTACCTTCTCCCCAAGACACGAGGCACCTTTGGGGACATGGAAGGTGCTTTCCGGAGAATGAAGAGAGGCGGGAAAAAGGAGGGCAGAGCACGCGGTGCCCACACCCTTGGCCTCTGGGTGAGTGTGGGCAGCACTCGCTGGTAGGGGGTAAAGTGGCGCAGGTTAGGAGCTCCCTCGGGGTGGACCTCGGCGATGGTGGGGGCGTCCCCACTCTTGGAACTGGAGATCTGCTGCACTAGGCTCTAGGCCCGCAGCCTGGTTGGGTAGGGGCAAGGATGGGCGGGGAGGGGGGCGGAGCACTGAGCGGGGCGGCGGGAAAGGGGCGGAGAGACAGCTTAAGATCAGACGGCTGAGGGACAGTGGTAGAACCTGCGGAGTAGGTGGGGAGCTCACCCGCAAGGAGGAAGGGGAGCGAGGACCGCGGCTGCCCGGGAGTGAAGAGAAGCGTGGAGTCCAGGGGTCAGACCACCAGCACCTTCTCCTGTAGCTAAAACGGCAAAGCCAGCGGAAGCACCGGCTGCGACGGCGACATTGCGCGCAGGTGGGCACCCGGGAGCCTGTCGTTCTCACTCCTCCCAAGCTGCAGGGAGCGGGATGCCTTCCCATCTTGGCTACCGAGCTTGGGAATGAGGGCCGGGCAGGTCTGGGAGCAGGAGGAAGGTGCTCGACCCTGTGGTGTGCACGCTTGTGCCTCCCTCCACGCTGTGCTTGGTAGGTAAGAGGTGCGGCAAAGCTGCCTCCCTTGGGATGCTCTTTCTTGGGTTTCATTGTCCCGCCCTACCCCTTCTGTTATGCTGAGCACCGGAGCGATTTTGGAGTACTGCGACCCTTTCCCCTGCCTGCAATCTCGGTAGTGTACGCAATTTGCCCCCTCTCTTCACAATCCACACCCAACAAACATCAAGACACCTCCTGCTCTGCGCCCCCTGGATTGTAGAAACCTTTGGAGAAGAGATAGTAGTAGCAGGACCAGCCAGAAGACAGGAATTACTGGAGTATGGTCTCCCCGGGCTGGTGCCTGAATCCGTGCGCTCTCTTGCGCCTTCAGGGCCAGAGTGGGAGGTTGAAGGTTGGGGGTGGGGGAGTGGAATAGGTTTGCCGAACTTACCTCCGAAGGCTGACTGTGCACATGCACTTGGCGCCATGTGCATGTTTGGATGAGGGTTTAATGGAGACACGTGGGAAGAGGATTGTCGCTGCTGTCCCCACCCCGCCCCAAAGCCGCTTGGGATGGCTTTGCGCGTGTACGGGGTTGGGAAAAAAGAAAGTGTGTTTGTGCATGTCCGTCCTAGGGAGGAGGAGGAGGGTGGCTCAAGGAGACTTGATTTTCTTGGATTTGCTGCAATTCCTTAAACCAAACTGGTCTCTCAGGCGTTAAAGTAAATTACTGGTAAGTAGGGACAGATGTCTGGTAAAAAGGCCCCCGGGATTTTGGGGTAGCGGGCATAATCTCTGTGTAACTTCTGGCGTTACCTCACCGTGGGGGTGGGGGTGGGATGAAGGTGAGGTGGTGTGTGTGGTGGTGCATGTGTCTGGTTTAAGGTGCTGAAGCTGGGGCACTTGTCTTGGGCAGGCTGTTGGACTCGGAGCAGGTAAAAAGCTGTGTAGCGCAGTCTGTTCTCAATTAACTGTAGGATCTTAGTGTCTGTCTCTCCTGTTTCTCTCTCTCTCTCTCTCTCTCTCTCTCTCTCTCTCACACACACACACACACACACACACACACACACACACACACACACACACAGTGGTGTGGTGTCCCTTTCTCTTTATCTCTCGGTTTTTCTTTCTTTCCCTCCCCCTATCTTTTTCTCCCTTTCCCCTCTCTTATGCTCACCCACATGCTCACATCACACGCACACCATGGTTGGGTCTATTATTCTAAATTAACTTCGGATCTCTCTCCCCCACTCAGTCTTCTTGTTTCTCTCAATCTCTTTCAACTCTCTCGATCTTTCTTGTCTCTCTTTCAATATCTCTGTCTCTCATCTCTCAATTTCTCAATCTCATGTTCCTCTTTCTCAGTCTCTAATTTATCTCAATCTTTCTCTTCCAATTTCTCTTTCATACATGTACCTCTTATCTCATGGCTGCTTTCACTCACTGATAGTTGCTTATGGATCTTTATGCATTGCTTATTATGTTCATAGATTTTTATTGATTTTTTAAAGAAAAAAAAAGACCCACCTGTATTAAAATCTGTGGGGTGTCAGAAGGACCTTTCAGCACTCATTCATATTCAAACTAGGAATAGGGAACTGTGAAAATACCCCACCTAACTGCTGTTTACATTGGGCAAAGCTCTAGTTCATGTTAGAATATTATTTTAAATAGACATTTTACAACCATGTGATACTGTAACCTTTTCCTAGATCTCTTCCTCTCTATTTTTTAAAAACATTTTGCCTGGCTGGTGTAGCTCAGTGGACTGAGTGCAGGCTGCGAACCAAAGTGTCGCAGGTTTGATTCCCAGTCAGGGCACATGCCTGGGTTGCAGGCCATGGCCCTCAGCAACCGCACATTGATGTTTTTCTCTCTCTCTTTCTCCCTCCCTTCCCTCTCTAAACATAAATAAAATTAAAATCTTGAAAACAAAAGAATGGGAGTTCAAATTCATTTAAAAAAACATTTTATGTATTTATTTTTTTAGAGAGAAGGAAAGGGTGAAAAAGGGAAACATCAGTATGTGGTTGCCTCTCTCGCACACCCCCTGCAACCCAGGCATGTACCCTGACTGGGAATTGAACTGGTAACCCTTTGGTTCCCAGGCAGCACTCAATCCATTGAGCCACAAATAGAGAGGGAGAGGTCCCTCTCTATTTGTGGCAATTTACAGAATTCTTGATTACTCGATCAACAAAGTGGTCAACTTATCTTCTAATTTTAATGGACAGGTCTTGAAATCTTTGTAGGCTGGCATGCAGGTGGTTGAATTCTGTGAACTCCATCTCTTTAGTGAACTGATTAGAGTGGCATCGATCTGAGACTTATGAATGCTTTGATTTCTAAATAATTTATCAAACCTTTGGGGGAGAAGGACTCCTCACAAATTTTCCACACAGGAGAAAGGACACTTTTATTTCTTGGAGCAAATATTTTCCCATTTTTCCCCCAATTGTCCCTGTTAGATGTCTAGAAAAGATGCATGGTTGTAAGACATGGTTTATTTCCATTTTATGTCCACAGGTGGCAGTATAGAAGCCAAAATGGAATCTTCTAGAAGTGGTTTCTGGAAAATAAGTACATATACACAAGTAAGCAAGCACAAGAATCTGAAAAACCACAGGTATGTAAAACAAGCCACCTATCCAGCTTTATAATTATTGCATTCCAATTATCTTGAAATTTATAATATATACTTTTATGAAGTGAAACATTGAGGTGCTCTCAAAGGAGAAAACAAGTGCATTCTATTTTAGAGAATGTATTTAAATAAAAAATACTGTGTATTATTATTGCATTATGTTTTACTCTTCTAAAAGCAAAGGATAATTTTTCTATTGTGACCAAATGACTTTGTCTTTAACCAGTAATTGCTTGATATTTGTTTTCAAAAACACTTTTGCTAAATAAAACTTCCAATTGTTCTGAGTAATTTCATTTGTGAAAACTGTTAACTAACAAAGTCACCCTGTTGAGATAATGTGACAGTATATACTTTTTACAAAAATTGCATCTCACTGTTGACTTACAATCTCACTTATCAGATTACTGAAATACCTATATATTAGGTATTATTTTAAACCAGCCTTTCTGTTTTTAACCATCTTGTCACTTTTCTTCTCCTACCTTGTTGCTTTTCTAAGCCCAACATATAAGAAGTACCTTCATAATTTACCCACTTGATTGAACTAATGATAGCTTTTAATATGGGGATCAAAGACAATCATGGTCAAATAATTTTTTCATTACAACACAATTTAAAAGAATTTGCCTTTATCATTAAAATGAAATATTTTGCATACTAAGGCCCTTTCTCTTTTATTCAAGTATGGTTGACATACTATATTATACAAGTTTCAGGTGTACAACATAGTGATTAATGATTATATTCTTTAGATGTGATCACCAGAATAAATTTTGTCACCATACAAAGTTATTATGATAATATTAAGGTCCCTTTTTGATAACTGGGTAGCATACTGTTGGATGGTAGAAGAAGCCAGGAAGGGAAATGTTCACTTTTGTGGATTGTTTTCCTTAGAATGCTGGGCCATGGTGCTCTCACAGGGAAGTTAAAGTTATTACATTGGCTGTAAAAGAGTCAAGCATCAAAATGGCTGTTAAAGACAATGAAAATTTCTCTTTCCTTGGGGGGATGTATGTTCATCACAGTGCCAGAATGTGGTGATATCTTGTGATTTTTGACATTCTGCCTTTATAGCTGAGGAGGGATTTGTTTAGCCCATGCCAATGAAGGTGTAAAACAAGATCACATAACATTCTTGAAGCTTGAAAGTATCTAACTGGACTTTAACCAGTTTAAAGCAAATTGGGAACTCTGGAAGTATAGACTGAGCTAAAGACTGAAAGGTTCTTGCTGTAAAAAGCTCGTGGATATGAAGTGGCTTCAGGAAATCTCATGAACATTTAGGAACATACAAGTTTGCACTGCATAGGACTTAGATACATTATTTGACTCAGGCAACTGGGAAGTAGTTAATCATCCCCCAATGTATATAAGAGGAATAAGGTCTGATCTTCTAAATTAGAAAGGAAAAGAGTACAGTTGAGATTGTATTCCTGTTTTGAATTATAGCATCCTCATTGTAGAGACATTAAGTGCTTTAGAGATATTTTATTTTCTAGGTATAACATGCATACAAAAAGTGTAAAATGCACTAATCAAAATGTGTTTTACATGTGTGTATACCCATGTGATTGCCACTCAGGTGAAGATATAAAACACTTTCAGCACCCCTGAGGATTTCCTCCTTTTGCCTTTCTGGTCAGTTTTCATCCCACTTCCAACCTGAAGGTAACCACATTATGATTTCTAAAAACTCCATCTGCTAGTTTTGTCTGCTCTTAAGCATCATATAAGTAGTAAATAGAAGGGACTCATGTATATGTCTTCTTGTACATAACATTGTCTATGAGATTCAGCCATGTTGTAGTGTATATTTGTAGTTTGTGCTAGTCTGTTGCTGAATAGTAATTCCATTGTATGGATATACCAAAATTTGTTTATCCATTCTCCTGTTCAATCTTTGAATTGTTTCAAGTGTGGCTAATATGAATAAAGCAACTATGAACATTCTTGCTGAAGTTTTTTGGTGTACATGTCCACTCATTTCTCTTGAACATATATCTAGGAGTAAAATTGTAGGGTCATAGAGTAGGCTTATATTTAGCTTTAGTAGATGTTGCCAGTTTTTCAAAGTGGTTGTACCAGCTTAAATTTCACAAATAGTGTGCAAGGATTCCAATTGCTCTACATGGTTCTGTCAGTCTCTTTAATTTAATTAATTTTGGGGATTGCATACTGTATCTACTTGTGGATTTTTAAAATTTTTAAAAAATTTTAATTGTGGTAATATATACAACATATAGAATTTATCATCCTAACTGTTTTTAAAAATCTACAGTTACTGGTATTAAATATATTCACATTGTTGTATAACCGTCACCACCATTCATCCCTTTACCTCTTGGAAAACTGAAACTGTACCTATTAAACAATGAATCTCCATTCTTTCTTTACCCAGGCCCTGGGAATCACCATTCTACTTTGTCTCTATGAATTTGACTACTTTAAGTGCCTCGTACGAATGAGTAGAACCACAGACTATTTGTTCTTTTGTAACCAGCCTTTTTCACTTAACATAATGTCCTTAATATTCACCCATGTTGTAGCACGTGTTAGAATTTCCTTTTTAATATTCCATTGTATGTGTATACCACATTTTGTTTAAACATTTGTCTGTTGGTGAACACTTGGATTGCTGTCAGCTTTTTGCTGTTGTGAGTAATTGCTGCCATGAATATGGGTGTGCAAATATTTCTTCAGGACTCTGCTGTCAATTTTTTTTGCCAATACTCAGAAGTGGAATTGCTGGGTCATATGGTAATTCTATTTTAACTTTTTGTAGAACCACCATACTATTTTCAAAAGCTACTGCAACATTTTATATTCTCAACAATGTACAAGGGTTCCAGTTTCCCCACATCCTTGTCAACACTTGTTATTTTCTGTTTTTATGGTAGCCATCCTAATGGGTGTGAAGTGGTCCCTATGGTTTTGATTTGTTTCCTTGTAAGTAATATTGTTAAATGCCATTTCATAAACTTATTGGCATTTGGATATCTTGTCAAATTTCTGTTAACATCTAGCCCATTTTCAAATTGGATTATTTAAAAATTTTTAATTTTTATTTTCTAAATATGAATATATTTTTTATTTTCTAAATATGAATATATGGTCAAATATATATATTACAGATATTTCCCCAGTTTGGCTTGCTTTTTCATGGTCTTCATGGTATCTTTTGATAATTTGTAATGAAATCGACTTTCCTTTTATGGATATTGCTTTTTGTGATCTATTTATAAAATCTTTGCCTACTTTGGGGTTATTTTTAAAAACTTTTTAGTTACTGAACATATATAAAGGCAATCTGTTCGGAAGACACAGCAAATTAACTATAAGTGTATTTCAAATTAGAGCCCTAAGTATGAATGTTGGGCACATACTTTGCTGTAACAGGTGCCAGAGGAGTTTGAAAAAAAAAAAACACGTTTTTCAATAAGATACATGGACACAGATGCTCTTACTCAAGTGGCCCCTCTTGCTGTTTCCTGCCAACACTGTCTTCAGGGCTTCTCTAGAGTGGTGCCTAGGGAAGAGCCTGGTAATGACTTGGCTAGAAGAAAGAAGGTAGAAAAATGGATGGGTATCTGTTTTTTTGTAATACAAAATCCATACTTGCTGAATGATCCTAACCCTTCCCTCTTCCATCTCTAAGGAGGGGTTGCTGCCATTTGGTGCTATTTCTTTCCTTTGCCTCTGAAATATCAATATCCCTTGGAATTATGCCATTTATTAGCTTTTTCTCTTCTCCATGTACATTTTTTCCCTGAATGCCCTGTGTTCACATTGACTTTCATGTCTTGAGCTATCTGTCTCTCCTTCTGCCTTGTCCTAAAGACTCCTCATGTCTTTATCTCCTGGTCCTACCACCTGTTTATGAACATAACATTCAGATCTGTATCTTTTTCTGCCTCCTGAACATCTTCCACTGGATATTCCAATGGTGCTTTTATGAAAAACACTCATTTCTCTCCAGTCTACTCTTCTTTCCTGCCTTATATAGTATATTTGCCATTAATTGAGGATCCCAAAGTTGAAATCTTGGCTCGGCCCCAATCTTCCCACACAGCTTAATCACGCTCATAGCCCATATTTAGTTGGTTATCAAGGCTGCTAGGTCTTTCTCCTATTTCTGAAACATCTTTCAAAGGCATCTTCTCTTTATATTTGCTATGTCATGGCTGGGGTTTCCTTTAGAATTGTAGTCAAAATGTCTTGAATGATTCCCCTCATTCTTTTTTTAAAAGATTTTATTTATATTTTTAGGCAGAGGAGAAAGGAGGGAGAAAGGGAGGGAGAGAAACATCAATGTGTGGTTGCCTCTCATGCATCCCCAAACTGAGGACCTGGCCCATAACCCAGGCATGTGCCTTGACTGGGAATTGAACCAGTGACCTTTTGGTTTGCAGGCCAGCACTCAATCTACTGAGCCACACCAGCCAGGGCTCCCCTCATTCTTAAACTCCCTCTAATTCTCCACATTTATTATCAGTTTTTTCCCTAAAACATAGATGTAATCATGTCATTTCCTGTTTAAAAATGATTTGTAGTTCTCCACAGCCTATAAGAAGCATTCACATTCCTTAGAATGATTTGTACTGTGATACCCTTTATTATATGCCTTCGACTTGATTTTCCTGTTCTATCATCTGCCATTTTCCCCATTCTCCATCTGTCCTAAACTATTTTCCACTTTTAGAACATTGTTTTCTTTCCTGCACCTGTGCTTTCCTGCATCTGTGCTTTCTTGTATCTGTTATTTTGCATATATTGTCCATTCTTATTCCCTGGTGACTTAATATTTTTCTTTAAAAATTAACTCATTTGAGTGAGCCTCTCTATCCTTTAAACCTCTTTATTCATACTTCTTTTAGTGTTGTTTGATGAGGTAACTCCATAATTACAGGTGCTATCATGTATTAATATTTGTACTCCTGGTAACTACTGAGAGAACTACTTCCAATATCAAAGATGTTTAATATATGTTCACTGAATGGGTAATTCATAAAGAATCTATTCCTTACTATATCAGTTAGCTTTTGCTGCTTAACAAGCCACCACAATATTAGTTTGGTTAGTGGTTTAGAACAACAAGTAATTTTGTTAGCTCTTGATTCTGTGGGTTGGCAATTTAGGCAGGACTCAGCTGCACAGTTCTTTGGATCTGAGCTGGTTTTCTCCTGGGTGGGCTGAGGGCTGGCTCTTCTAAAATGGACACATCTTCTCTCCACATGGTTTCTAGCCTTTACCCAGGCTTGTTCACACCATGACTGGCAGGGTTTTAACACAGAGTGGAGACATGCAAGACCTTGAGGCTTAGGCTTGAAACTGGCACAAAGTTACTTCCTCTAAATTTTGTTCGTTAAAGCTAATCACAAAATCACCCCTGATTTAAGAAGTGGGGAAATAGATTCATCTCTTGAAAAGAGGAGCTGTAGATGTTGCAAGAAACATAGACAGAGAGGAGAATAATTGTAGCAATTTTTCTAAGTAGTCTGTTGTACTGCAAGAATATGATGATAGACCAGACTTGGTTCAAAGGGTTGATTCTACTGAGGTCACCAGCAGGGAGGACAGTTTTGACCTTGCCTAACTGCATCTAAGATGAGCTCAACTAAGATGGCTCCATGGTTCCTAGCATCCTTCTTTGTTCTTTCTTTCAAATCCTCTGTCATTACCTTTTAACCAAACCATACTTAAGATACCCCAGGTTTTTGTTTGTTTGGTTTTTGTTTTTTGGCCTTAATGAAGTACCATTGGTTGCTTTTCGGTATTGGAGAAGAAGAAACATTGCTTTCTTCATTAGGGAAGCAGCTGTGAATAGTCTTTGGTATTGGAGACCTCATTAAGGAGCATCCTTTAGTATTTGCCATTGATTGCCTCTAGTATCTAATTTAAAAGACCTTCATGGGGAAAGCTTCAAGAAATGAAAAGAGATCTGATTGATTGGAGCTGATCATCTGGGTTCTCCCTTATGTGTGAAAACTGAAGATATCCTCCTAATGAGAAACAGTAGTTTACATGCTCTTAATGTTTGTTTGTGTGCTTTTCAAGCTGTTACAAACTATTCAGAGTGGAAAAATAAATTTAAATGTTTCTGATTTACTTTCTATTAGAGGAGGAAGTATAGTTAAAATATACATGTAAGAGTTTAGTTGAAATATACATTGAAATTGAAGTATATACTCATAAATACACTTAGTAAAACATACATGGAGTAACCCTAATTTTCCAGAGATAGTATAGTACCCATGGATAGGTTTTTTTCCCCAGAACTTGATTTTAGTGTATATCTGTATATCTCAGTAGAGCTGTTAGAAATAAAGAAAACAGATAGAAATTTTACCTCATTAGAGCCTGTTTCTACTAATCTTAGAAATACAGATAAACTGAAGTAAGCAAAAGAATAGTAGGCACTTAAAGGGCCCAAGACTCCTTATGATGGCTTAAAGATGTCTTGTATATTTTCTATATTTTTTAAAAAATTATTTATTTTAGACAGAGGTGACTGGAGGGAGAAAGAGGGAGAGAAACATCAATATGTGGTTGCCTCTCATACGCCCCTTACTGGGGACCTAACTTGGCCAGAAACCTAAGCATGTGCCCTGACTCGGAATTGAACTGGTGACCCTTTGGTTTGCAGGCCCCTGCTCCATCCACTGAGCCACACCAGTTAGGGCTTTTTCTTCAATGTTTTTTATTGTGGTAAAATACACATAACATAAATTTTTTCTTATTAACTATTTTACATTTACAGTCCAGTAGTATTAAAAATATTCACATGGCTGTGTACCCATCACCATCATCCCTCTCCAGAATACTTTTCATTTCACAGAACTGAACTATGTCCCCATTAAACAAGCACTCCTCATAACCCCTCCTCTGAACCCTTGGCAAACACCATTATACTTTCT